TAGAGGTGGTACAGGAGCAGGAGTAGAGGTGATACAGGAGCAGGAGTAGAGGTGGTGCAGGAGCAAGAGTAGAGGTGGTGCAGGAGCAGGAGTAGGGGTGGTACAGGAGCAGGAGTAGAGGTGGTGCAGGAGCAGGAGTAGAGGTGGTACAGGAGCAGGAGTTGGGGTGGTACAGGAGCAGGAGTTGGGGTGGTACAGGACCAGGAGTAGAGGTGGTGCAGGAGCAAGAGTAGAGGTGATACAGGAGCAGGAGTAGAGGTGGTGCAGGAGCAGGAGTAGAGGTGGTGCAGGAGCAGGAGTTGGGGTGGTACAGGAGCAGGAGTAGGGGTAGTATAGGAACAGCAAGAGTAGTACTAATAGGAGCAGCAGAAATAGGGATAGAATGGGAGCAGCAGCCATAGTACTAAGAGGAGCAGCAGGAGTAGTCCTAATAGGAGAAGCAGCAGCAGTACTAATAGAAGCAGCAAGAGTAGTACTAGTAAGAGTGGCAGGAGTAGGGGTAATATAGGAGCAGCAGGAGTAGGGGTAGTGTGGCCACAGCAGTAGTACTAAGAGGAGCAGCAGAAGCAGTGGTACAGTAGCAGGGGTAGTCGTAGCAGGATGGGCAGGAGTATTAGTAGCAGCAGTAGCAGTAGCAGTAGCAGTGGTAGTAGCAGTAGCAATGGTAGCAACAGTTGCAGTAGTAGCAGTAGTGGTATCCATAGTAGTGGTGGTAGCAGTAGCAATAGCAGTAGGAGTAGTAACAGTAACAGTTGTGAGAGTAGGAACAGTAGCAGCAGCAGCAGTGGTGAGATGACCTTTTGCCATCCTTGTCTCTAAAGGCACCGTGGTTGCACGTCATTCTAGAGTTGCTTGTTATCTGGCAGCCCTGGCACGTTCAATACTCTTTGTCAACACCACAATTCAAAGTCATTGATTCTTTTCTCATCTTCTTCATTCATTGTCCTGCCTTCAGATGCACAAGAAGCAATTGAAAATACAATGGCTGGCATAAAGTGCGCGTTAGTATTTAAACCGACATCCTGGCTCTTTGGAGAAATCCTTGACGGAGATTTCCCCAATGTAACATGTCTTTTAATTTCTTGACCATTGCTACCATGGGTGTTGAGTTTGGACCTAACGAAATGAAATTGTTGACAACTTCAATGTTTTCAGCATCTACCATGTTGCTGCCTATTGGTCCAATGGTGAGGATTCTGTTTTCTTCATGTTGAGATATGTTGTTGCGTTATGTGCTGTCAAGTCAGAACTAACTCACAGCTGATCCTCCAATAGGTTTCAGAGACAGTAAATCACATGGGAAGAGACTGTCTTTCTCTTGCCTAGTTGTAAAAGCTGCACTGTAATCCCAAAGGCATGTGGTTCGAATCTACCAGCTGCACCATGGGAGAAGGATGGGCTGTCTCCTCCTGTGACTAACTGCCTCTGAAAACCCACCAGAGGGTCAGCTACGGGTCGGTTATGACTGAACAACTACCTTAACAATGGCAGTGCAACTCCACACCATTAAACGACCAGAGCTCTCTGTAACAGGGGTGTTTTGTTTTTGTTGATGGCCGTCAAGTCATGCACGACTCATAGTGACTCCCTAAACAAAAGACCTGAGGCTTTTTTATAACTATCGTTTCTCTAAGTTCATAGTGTTTCCAGAGGCATGTGGTTTAGCACGTGGATACCACTCCTGCTTCCCAACCTGTCTTAAAACTTGGAGCTCCACCAAACACTGTCCACCATGGGCAGCCTTATGGCGTCTGAGACCCCAGTGGTACAAAGTTCAGCCTCACAGCAAAGCCAGGTTACCTCAGCACAGCAAACTGACAGAAGAGTGCTGTACAACTTAGAAGAATGTTCCTCCAAAAAATAGTAGCAAAGGATTAAAATATAATCCCTCAGATCCAACTTATTAAATGTAAGGGACCTCCAGGAGGTTTTGTTGACTCTAAACAAGAGGCTTTAATAATAAAATGAAAAAATAAAGAAGAACATTCCACAATGACCCTCAACCAAAACAAGAGAGCCCGTCTTACAGAGTTCAGTCGCTTCACCCAGTCTCCAAAATGGAGACATGGGCTTGGCCTTAAATGCAAGTGTCCTCCTGGAGGTCTTGTTGACTAGAGTCAACAAACAAGAGGCTTAAACAATGAAACAATCCACACAGATCCTCAACCAAAAAAAGAGTGCCATCGTACAGAGTCGAGCCAATGGAAGTCCAAAATGGGAGACAAGGGCTTGGCAATGTATCTTCTTCTTGTTAAGTGTCATCTAGTACTGACTCTATAAACAAAAGACTTTAACTTTGTTCTATTACTAGTGTCCTTTCTCTGAGTTCATAGTTTCCACAGGCATATTTAGGAAGTGGAGGCCACTCCTGCTTCCAAGCCTGTCTTAATCTGTTAGCTAAGCAGATATTGTCAACCATGTGTAACCATTTTGGCACTTGACAGATCAATGTTCAGTATCACAGAAATCCAAAGTTACCTCTATATCAGAAATGACAGAAAAGCACTGAACCACTTAGGAGTGTTCATTTCAAAAAGGGCCCAAATGAAATTTCAAAAGGCCGCAGGCCCATGCACCAGGCTCTCACAGACAAGACTGAATGTGTCTGTGGTTTCATTTTACTTGGATCCATCCATGTAGCAGGCAACAGGAAACGGAGTGCCATCTTTCACTGGACAAATCTCGCGTCCAGGACCTCTTTAAAGTGCTGAGGAGCCTGGGCGGCAGCTGCAGCGTGCCTGACTCTGTGGTGTTTCAGTTGCTCCACAGGCTCTTGGGAGCTGGACAATGAGTAAGGAAGACGGAGGAACTGATGCCTTTGGACTGTGGTGATGGTGAAGAGAATTGTTGGTAGTGTGGACGGTCGGGTAACAAACATATCTGTCTTGGAAGAAGGTAACAGGATGTCCTTCAGAAGCAAAGATGGCGAGGCTTCGTCCCACACACTGTGGCGTGTTGTCAGAAGGGACCAGTCCCTGGAAAGAGGCTCCTGCTGAGAAAGGGAAGGGTCAGGGAGAGGGAGACCCCCAGTGAGATGAACTGGCCCAGGGACAGCAAGGATGGGCTTAAGGAGAACGGAGATGATGAGGGTGTAGCGGGATCAGACGAGGTGTCCGCCTGCTGTGCACAGCGTCCCTGGGCTTCCAAGTCAACCTCGCAGCACCTAACAACAACAACAACAACACACATTCCTCCTGGGTGAGCGGGGGTGGGTGGTATAATACATTCATTTCATGTAGACGTCCACATCTATGGCCCAACGATTTATGACATTCTTTAGAATCTCTAATGCATCCCCTTTTTAAATTTTTGGTTTGTAAATATATACATTGTCTCTTTTTTTATTCTCTTGGGCATTTTAGCTAAGGGTTTACACTTTTATTAATTATTCCAAACACTCAGATTTTAGTTTAATTGCTTTTTCGCTGTTTTTTTCCCTTTCTGTAATAAATTTAACCAATTTAACTCTATTTTTTTATTCTACATGCTTTGAGCTTAACCTACCAAAAATTTCAACAACACTAATGAAAAAATATAAATCAAATTAGTAAAATATGTCTGTATGGGGAAGAAAGTGGTAATATTGATCAGAAGCTATGTATTCAGGTGTGCATGCACTTATCCGTGTGCATGTTTATGCATAGATATATATCCACATGTAAACTTCAACAGCTGTTACAGGTAGGAATTTGTCCTCCAAATTATAATAAGGATGCCCTGTGATGTGGAAGGATGCTTGTGGTACCGTTTGTCATCATTGCTGTTGTCAGGTACCATCAAATGTGATGCATAGTGAGCCTATGAACAACAGATCTGAACCCTGTCCTGTCCTGTGCCATTCTCATAATTTCTGGCACACTTGAACTCATTACTTCTGTCACTGTGTCAATCTCTGTCATTCAATATCTTCCTCTCTTTCACTGACCCTTCATCTATCTATGCATGATGTCCCTCTCCAAGAATGACTCTCCTAGAAACATCTCCAAAGTAGAAAAGATCTCCAGGGGATACTCAGGCTTCATTAGTTCCAAGATTTACCTGTTTGTTCTTTCAGCAGTCCATGAGATGTTCAGTATTCTTTTCCAACATCACAGCTCAGAGACATCAATTCCTCTTCCAACATCTTTATTTACTGTCCAGCTCTCAGATGCGTAAGAAGTGATTGAAAAGACCATGGCCTGAATGAGGCACACCTTAATTTTTCATTGATTTTTTCCCCCCAGTAATTTGGAGAGGTCCCTGACTGCAGAATTTCCCAGTGCAGTATGTCTCCTGATGTCTGACTGTGGGAACCATGGGTGTTGATTCCAAGGAAGATGAAATCGTTTACAACTCCAATCTTTTCTTCACCTACCGTGATCTTATCTGTTGGTCCAGTGATGACGATATTCATTACCTTGGTGTTGAAATCCATACTGAAGGCTACAGTTCTTGATTTTCTGCATTTCAAGTCCTCATCACTTTCAAAAAGCAAGATTGTACCATCTGCATACTGCAGTTTGTGGTTGAGTCTTTCTCCAATCCTAAGGCCACACTCCTCTTCACAGAGTCCAGCTTCACAAATAACTTGCTCAGCCTACAAACGGAATAGGTATGGAGATAGGATACATCCCTGATGCACACTCTTCCTGATTTTAAATCATGTAATGTTTTCTTGATGCATTCAGACAGCAACTTCTTAACCTGGATATAGGTTTCACATGAGCACAATTAAGTGTCCTGGAATTCCTATTCTTCTCAATGTTAGCCTTAATTTGTTATATTACGTAGAGTCGAATGCCTTTGTATAGTCAATAAAACAGAAATAGACATTCCTTTTTTTTTAGACATTCCTTTAATATTCTCTGCTTTCAGCCAGTATCCATCTGACATCAACAATGATATCCCTGGTGCCAGAGCCTCTTCTAAACCCAGCTTGAACTTCTGGCTGTTCTCTATGTACTGTCTTAGCCATTTTTGGATGATCTTCAGCAATATTTTGTTTTTGTTTTGTGATATTAATGATATTATTTGATACTTTTCACATTCTGTCACCTTTCATGAAAGTAGAAGGAAATACAGGTTTCCAGTCAGTTGGCAGCTGTCCTTGAAATTTCTTAGCATAAACCAGTGAGCACATCCAAAGCTGCAACTATTACACCATAGTTTATTATATCGGAAAGTTAAAAGATATTTTATGATATTGTAGCCACACTATGAATTGGTTGTGTTGTTTTTGTTTTGTGTTGTTGTTGTTGTTGTTTTTAAGTTGTCAGCGACCTCTCTAGAGTACTGAAGAGCAATGATGTCAGTCTGGAAACTAAAGTGTGCCTGATCCAGGCCATAGTCTTTGCAGTTGCTTGTCATATGTCAGAAAGCTGGACAATGACTAGGAATTATGGAAAAAGAGTGGATAACTTTGAACTGTGGCGCTGGAGAAGAGTATTGGATATACCATGGATTGCCAGGAGAACAAACAGATTCACCCTAGAGAGGGTGAAACCAGGCTTCTCCTTGGAGGCAAGGATTCTGAGGCTTTGTTAGACATACTTAGGGCATGTTGCAAAGAGGGACATCATGCTTGGAAGGGTGGAGGGATAGCAAAAGAGAAAAGACCATTGATGAAATGAATTGATTCCGTGACTGGAATAATGAGGGTACGTATGTCAGACAATAAGGTTAGCACAGGATAGAGCAAGTTTCAGGGCTATTGTACATGGGGTCACTATCACTCATAAACAACTTGATGGCACATAACAACAACATCCATATTCTGATTTTTATGAAACTTTTATTTTTAAAATTATTTTGAGCGAAAGTATCACAGATAATATTGAGTTTTCATTCAATCATTCATAATCATTTTATTCAGCTAAACCCATACTCCCAGAATTCCACGGGTTCAGCCACCATCCAGAGCATTGTGCCAAGACAGGGCCTGCGAATAAAACTCGTTTAATTAAGTGGTAACTAACAACAACTCTCAGAACAATGGGGATCCCAGAACATTTGATCGTGCTAATGTGAAACCTATACTTGGACCAAGAGGCAGTCATCAGAGCAGAGCAAGGGAACACTGCACAGTTCAAAATTGGGAAGGGCGTACGCCAGGGATGTGTCCTATCTCCATACCTTTTCAAGATATATGCAGAACAGATTATCCGGGAGGCTGGGCTCTATGAGGACTGTGGCATCAGAATTAGAGGAAGAATCATCAACAATATGTGTTATACAGATGACACAACCCTGCTTGCTGAAACTGAGGAGGACCTGAAGCACTTGCTGCAGAAGGTCAAGGACTGCAGCCTTCAATATGGATTGAAGCTCAGTATCAGGAAAACAAAGATTCTCCCCACTGGGCTGATTGGCAGCATCATGATGGATGGTGAAGAGATTGAAACTGTTCACTACTTTAGTTTGCTTGGCTCCACAGTCAACACTCTTGGCACCAGCAGCCAGGAAATTAAAAGATGTATTGTGTTGGGAAAGTCTGCTGCCAGAGACCTCTCCAATGTACTGAAGAGCAATGATGTCAGTCTGGAGAGTAAGGTGAGCCATGGTCTTTGCAATCTCTCGCTATGCATCAGAGAGACGGACAATGAATGACTAGGGATGATAGAAGAATTGACGCTTTTGAGCTGTGGTGCTGGGGAAGAGTACTGAATATACCATGGACTGCTAGGAGAGCAAACAGGTTTGTCCTGGAGAGGGTGAAGCCAGGCTGCTCCTTGGCGGCAAGGATTCTGAAGTTTCGTCTGACATACTTCGGACATGTTGCAAGGAAGGACTAGTCTTTGGAGAGAGGTATCATGCTTGTGAGGGTGGACGAACAGCGCAGGAGAGGAAGACACTTGATGAGATGGATTGATTCAGTGACTGGGGTAATGGGAATAGGTATGTTAGATACAATAAGATTGGCACAGGATAGAGTAGGGTTTAAGGCTGTTGTACATAGGGTCACTATGAATCATAGGCAACTCAACAGCACATGACAACAACAACAACAAAAAGTGTACAGACATACTTCAGAGCACCTTGATAACCCCAGAAGCTTCCAACCGAGTCCAGCTTCCACCCATTCTATGAAATGAGCCACCAGTCATTTCACTGCAGGGGGAAAAAAAGACCGAGAGCCTGTGGAACCACTCAAAGCTGGATTGCGGACATGCTTGGACATCTCCATGGATAAGCCTGAACTTCACACACAGTGTCACGTGCCTATACCAAAGACAAACAAAGGCGGCCCCAAGGAGAGCACATGTTAGGCTGCATGTCCTCCCAGCGCCACACCACACTTCAGCCAAGTGGGAGTCACTCTCGCCGGGTTCTTTGCACAGATCCACCACATCTCTGCAGATGGTTTCCGGCGTCACTGGCACTTCGGTGAAGTGCTACTCATTATTACTACGGTACACAGTCAGGAACATCCGAAAGCAAAGACAGACACCAGTTACTAGCAACTCATGCACTGGCCAGTCTAATGTTTTCTTCTCCTTCAACTCCCTTCTCCAAAACAAATCCTCAGCTGGCAGCACAAATGGGAACAACCAAACAGCTTGGCACCCCTCCCTGAAGGGCAGGGATCTGAAGTCCCGCCAACCAGTGTCTGTTCCTTTCCACACAAGGGCTGCCTGCAGAATCCTGGGGACCTAGGGACACAATAAACCAGGTTACACGAAAGTGCAAAAAAACCCAAAAACCAAAAACTAGTTTAAGGCCCTTGGGCCAAGAAAATGATACTTGTCTACCAGATTTAGAGGCGACTTCACCCCCTTCTGGGGAATTGTCCTACTGTGACAACAGCATGCTGCAAAAAGCAGAAGCACTAAAGCCACAAGAACTCAGACCTGGAGCAGAAGCTCAGGGCAAAGGACTTTTCTGAGGACCATCTGAGACAGAAATCCTTCCCCTAATACTGTTGTTGTTGTTGTTGTTGTTGTTAAGTGCCATCAAGTCATAGACTACTCATGGCAACACTATGAACAAAAAGCCTGAACACTTGTATAACTTTAATAATTTCTCCAAGTTCATAGAATTTCCAGAGGCAAACTATTTCGGAAGTAGATGTCCCTCCTGCTTCCAAGCTTGTTTTAATCAGGGAGCTCCACCAAACACTGTCCAACATGGGTAACCATTCTCACATTTGACACATCAGCATCACGGTGTTCAGCTTCACAGCAACCACGAGTTACCTCTGTACAGCAAATGGACAGACCAGTGCTATACCACTTAGAAGAATGATTGTCCAGAAACAATTAAAACCAGGCCTGAGGACTGCGTATTAAAATCACCCACCTCTGGCTTCGTAGCATAACGTTCTATCCACGAGGCCAACAGAGCTCTCTTGTTGTTGTTGTTGTTAAGTGTCACTGAGTTGTAGATGACTCATAGCGACCTTATGAACAAAAGACCTGAAAACTTGTATAACTTTTATTGTTTTTTCCAAGTTCATAGAGTTTCCGGAGGCAAGCTAGAGCCTTCTCAACTCACAAGAGGCTGGCCACAGCTTAGGAGACCCACAGCAGCATGAGGCTTTAGGCGTCAACACAAGGCTTAGCCCTAAGCCATCAACATATCAAGGGCTGGATAGAGGGAGGGAGGTGTTGAACGGGGTAGGCTGGAGTGGAAAGGGATGCTGTGGAGTGGGGAAAGGGGTGGGTCAAGACAAAACCCACATGCACTGAATCTTTTGGTTACTTCTATAATTGGGAAATGTCCTTCATCTGCTCCTCTCTGTAAAATGCTAGTCTGTCAGATACGGTTCTAAATATGAGCATTCAAATTAAGACAGACTAGGAAGAAGGACTGGCCACCCACTTCCAAAACAACAAATCTTTGAAAACCTTGTGTACAATAGAGCATGCTTAGATTAGCAGACATGGCAACTGAGGCTGAGATCTCAAATATGGAAACACAAAGGAGGAGGAACAGCTGTAAAAAGACAAGAGTGATTGGAACATGAATGTGAGAAGTGTGACTGTAGGAAAATTGGACATCATTAAGAAAGAAAGTGAATGCATAAATATTGACATACTAGGTATGGGTGAAACGAGATGGATCGGCATGGAGCATTTTGAATCAAACAATCATATGCTCTACTATGCCAGAGATGAAAAGAGGAGGAAAAATGGAATTGCTTTCATAGCTCAAAAAAAGTCACTTCTAGATTTATCTTGAAATACAATGATATGAGTAACAGGATAATATCCATATGTATACAAGGAAGTCCAGAGAATACCGCTATCATTCAAATACATGCACCAACAACTAGAGCCAAAGAAGAGGAAATAGAAGATTTGCACCAACTTTTGCCATCAAAAATCAATCGAACATGCAGTCAAGATACATTAATAATAATGCATGACTGGAATGCAAAAGTTGGGAACAGGGAAGAAAGATCAGTAGTGTGAAAACATGGACTTGGTGACAGAAATG